AGGCTATCAAGAACATCATAAAGTCAGCATAAACCAAAACAAGATTCTTCTGATAAAAGGATCTTTTTTCTTTGGTGGGCACAGAGGGTGCTGGGTGTGGAACCCAAAGCCTCATACATGCTAAGCAAGTTCTCTGGCATGTATCTCCTCCCTTTTTCACATTTTTATTTTGGGACAGGGTCTTGCTGCATTTCCAGGCTGATCTGAACTTGCATTCCCCTGCCTTAGCTTCCTAAGTAGCCAGGAGCAGAGGTGTGCCCCGTCATGCCCAGCTAGGATCTCTGCTCTCGGGGCAGACACAGAAACACAACAGTAACCTTTCACAAACTTGTTCTCATTTCCTCTTGCTGGTCTAACCCCCCGCCACACACTTAAAGTCTGAAAACAGCACGAGTTTGTTATCTCACAGTTCTGGAGAAAGGAAGTTTAACCTTGGGCCCACCAGGCCAATGGCAAGCGTCAGCAGGACGGGCTCCTTCTGGACTCGAGGAAAGAACACATTTCCTTGCTTTTCCCGGTTGCCCACCCCTTTCATCCCCCTCTTCCTTCTCAAAGCCAGCAGCACGGTAGTATCTCCCTGTCTCTGCTCCCCTTCCCACCGCACCTTTTTCTCCTCTGGCCCTCCAATCTCCCTCTTACAGGCAGACTTCTGTTTCATTGAGCCCACCGATGACGCAGGATGATCTACCCCCGTCAACACCCTCCACGTAAGCTTATCTACAAGGTTCTCTTTACGGTGTAAGGTGATACATGTACAGATTCTGGGGGTCAGGATGCAGACATCTTTGAGGAACCTCATTATTGGAAGATTAATCATTTCTCATTTTAACAGAGAGAGAAACAAAAGTCTACTTTTTCACTAGCATATCTGAGATTAAATCTTTTTTTGTTTGTTTGTTTTTGTCTTTTTCATTTTTATCAGTACCAGGGATCGAACTCACGACTGCCTGCTTGCAAGGCAGGCACTTATGCCGCTAAGCTAAATCTCCAGCCCCCGAGATTAAATCTCTTTATGAAAAATCTTACAAAGAAATATCAAAACCTAGCCAGATTTGACCACACCAAAATTGTCTTTGCTGGAAACTTCTATAGATTTCTAGATCCATTTCAGTTTGCCCTGTGCCTTTTCTTTCTCCTTCTGGAACAGTCAGGCGGGTTGTTCATTTTACTTTTTCACTTAACAAAACATATCCTAAAACTTTAGTTCCTGAGAATGTTTCTATTTTAGTTACCCTCTCCTTTGACCTCTGTTCTCTTGTTTCTCCACTATTACCAAAAAATAAAAAATAAAAAGAGGGCCTGTCTTCCTTTTCCTGTGCTTCTATGGAGACTCCTCCTTCCTTAGAGAGCTGCAGGCATCTGTGATCACTCCTCCTTCATTTTTTTTTTTCCTTTTTTTAGACAGGGTTTCACTTTGCAGCCTGCGGAGTTCACAGGCTGGCCTTGAACTCACTTTGTAGCTCAGGCTGGTCTCAGAATCACAGCAAACCTCCTGCCTCAGCCTCCCAAGAGCTGGGATTACAGGTGTGCATCACCACAGCCAGCATTCAATCGATGTTCCTGTGCCTTCTCAAGACTGCTATCTACCAGACCCTCCCTGGTCAGAGATTCCCCCAGCTGTGCCCCCCCTTTCCTATCTTGAAAGTGCTACCTCACCTGCTACTTCCACATCTGCCATTCACACCTTAAATACCAAAGCCCTCCCGCTGCCACATCCAGGAGATGCTCTGCAGACTCCATTTAACTTGACCTGCTCACTGTGCAGGACTGTTGAGACCCTTCCCAGGGTCCATCTCGGTACACAGCCGCTGGCCCATGTCCAAGGCTTAGCTTTCTTCTTAGTCCTCATTGTCCCTCACCACTGACTCTCTTCTGGGAATTTCCTTCTAGCTGATCCACTTTTCCCTGTGCCCATTGCCACCAGCCTAGCTCAAGCCGCCAATTACCCCTCTCCAGGTTGAAAATCATTGCCTGCTGGCCTCACCGCCTGTAATCTGGGCCTCCTGTCACCCACAGCACACTCCAGGATCTAAGTGGTGTTTCTAATCCACAGTACACCATGCACAAGGCACTCGAAGTCCTGAAGTTTCAGTGTCCACCTTCCACTTGCCATCCCTCCTGTCCCCATAACATGGACGATACGACTCTGTGATTAAACATTTGCTTGTCTCTCCAACTAGATCTGTTCCCAATCCCCCTCAAATTCCAAGCCCTATATACCAAGCAGGTCCTTAAACTCATCATGCTTTTGGTGCTACTTGCAAAATTCTACCTTGAGCATTTAACCTCCACTGATGAAGTCTTATTCGCCCTGCATTTCTCACTCTTCTCTAATTACCTGTTTACCTGTGAGTCTTAGCTGGACTATAGACTCAGTGGGACCACAGATTGGTCAAGGTCTCATTCCCACTGTGCTCAGTAATTATTTGCTCCCTGTAAGTATTTGTTGAATAAACAGAGTTCTCGTGAGATTGGGAGCAGGTCTGGCGAGTGTGAGGGTGCGGCCAGGGGTGGGCGGAGGGGCAGGTACACAGTGGAGCTGCAGGGAGGAGTGGTCCTGGTAACTGTGGTGTCCAAGGTGGGGCCAGCCAAGTGGCTGTTGGGCTGGGGTAGAAGTGAAGGCCACTGGGACAGAGGACACAAGGGAAGTAGGACCTAGGAGGTGGGAGCAGTGGCACTTAGGTCGCTCAAGCAAAGTCAGGCCTGGGGTGGGGTGGGAGGGGAGCCATGAGTCAGGCTCCAAGGTCCTTTCACAGGTGACCTGATTGAGGCAAGGAAGCACCGTCATTTTATGGCCCAGCCTCAGAGAGAAGAGGAAGGGAGAAAAGCATAGCAGAAGATTTATGCGGGACCATACCTGTGTGTGGGGGGTGCACCCCATGGCTGTACCCCATGGGGACAGCCCAGAAGAACAGAGGGACTCTTAGAGAAGCTTTCAAGATGAAGGGGTGGAGAAACTTTCCAGCAGGCAGAAAGCTTTTTATAGAAATGGTTTTCCAGAGAACTCTACAGAAGGGTGTAGAAAGGAATCCCCACTGTAAGTTCACATGACATGGCTCCTTAGAGTTTGCTTTCAGAGTTTGTTACAGTTCCCTGCTCCAGAAAGTTCTGCTGTCCTGCAGCTATGATTCTCAGCGGTGATGGGCTTATCCCAGGCAAGAGGATGACCTAGAATGCTATCTGACCCTTAGTGCAAAGGGAGGGATACCCTACCCATGGGGCTGTCTACTCCTGTGAATTCTTCGAGTCCTTGGGAGATCAGGTCTCAATTGTTTTTGTTGAATGCGAATACAGTCAAGGCCTGTTTTGAGGGGACTGACATTTAAAAAAAAAAAAAAAAAAAAAAAACCTCTCATCTACCACAAAAGCCAAGCAAATAAACCAAACCACTGTAAGGGGAAAGTCTTGAATGAACAATATTTCAAAATTATTTAACATTTGCCATCTCGCTAGTCTCCCTTGCAAAGGGTCAGGGGGCCAGGTACCTCTTTTTCACCTTCTGCAGTTCGCAGAGAGGAGTGGAGAGACAACGATTGTTGGCAGATTTCTTCCTAAGCTCAGGCTGTCCTCATTCCGAGACCCTGAGGTACTCTCCACTGAGGGACTGGCTGGTTTTTCTAACAGCTTCCGATATGCTGGAAAGAACCTGTGCTTATTTGGATGAACTTTACTTTAACAGGCTGATATTTTACTTGTATTTATAGTTTTAAAGCAAGATGAGTTTTCTTTTTTCTTTTCATTGCATTCATCCAGGGTAGTAGATTTATTAAGCTATTTAGTGGTTCCCTTTTTCAAGAGCGGCCCATCCTCTTCCCTGAAAGCTGTCCCTGGTCTTCCAACAGATGTTTCTCTTAAACCCCCTCTTTCCCAGCATCCTTTGCTGTTCCTTTTAATTTCCCCACCTCTGACATTGGGGTACTTGGGTCTGCCCTTGGCCTTGCCATTTACTCACACTCATCCCTGAGTCCCAATGTTTTACCCACTCTGAGGACTCCCCAAATTCCATCCCAACCAGGACTTCTCCCTTAACTCCATATTTCTATGTCTGACTTCTTCCTTCTCTTGGTGTCCAGCAGGCAGCTCAAACTTACTATGCCTCAAAATAACCTCAAGTTCCTCCTTTCACATTGGTCTCTGTTCAAGTCCTCCCCACATCACTGAATTGAATTTTAAAGTTTCTTGAGGAAGAAAAATTAGAAGTCAGCAAAATCTTGGCAACTCTACCTTTTCAAGGTGCATGAAACCCAGCACACCTTCATTCCTCCACCACCGCTAGCCTGCATCCCTTCTCTCCTTTTCCTTCGAAGCACTGAGACGGAACCCAAGGCCTCACACCTGGGGGTCAAGCTCGGTAACACTGAGCTGCACCCCAGCCAACTACATTATTTCATGGCCTCTAACTGGCTTTCTTGCTGAATCCTCCCACACTCAAGTGTGGTCTTCACACCATTGCTCGCAGCTGCACCACACTGGAGACGCGCAGGGATCATGTTCAACTATAATTTTAACATAGAAACCCATATATGGCATTTTTATGTACCAGACTCTCATCAGGCCTTGGGAACACATCATCTTGTTCATTCCCATATGTCTATGGCAGGTACTACTACTGTATTATAAACCACGCCCCCCACCCTCGTTTTTTGGGATTGAATCCAGGGCCGTTATACTAAACTATATCCTTAGCCCTTTCTGGTTTAGGTTTTTGTTGTTGTTGTGTTTTGTCTTTTTGAGATGGCGTCTCACAATGCGGTTCAGGCTGGCCTTGAGCTCACTTTGTAGCTCAGGCTGGTCTCAAACTGCAAGGATTCTCCTGCCTCAGCTTCCCAAATGTTGGGATTACAGGGCTGAGCCACCACGCCAGGCTAAATTACATCATTTTTGTTTTTGTTTTGTTTTTTTAAAGACCAGGTCTCGCTAAATTAGGCCCGCTGGTTTTGAATTGCGATCCTCCTACTCCAGCCACCCAGCATGCTGAGGCACAGGCATGCACCACCACATTCAGCTCATATTTTATTTTACATTGTCTTAACGTGTGAGAAACCCAGTCACAGGGCCATGAACTAGCCGGTGGATCCTGAGGGGCGGCGCTGGGATTTAACTCCAGGCTGATTCCTCTTGCTCCGGAACATCCTGTCACTTGCTTTGCAGTCAGAGACGACAAAACGAAGCTATGAGCTCAAGAATAAAAGATTCAGTCTGCATAAAATCAGCTTTGGGCCTTTAGCAAAAATAAATAGAAGTTGAGGAAGTGGTCGTTGACCGTGGGCGTACGTTGTCCAGAGAGAGTGTGCAGGCGCCAGCATCCAAGAAGCAGCAAGCAGCAGATGGGGAGGAAGAGGAACTGCCCCCACCCCTGCTTTGCGGAGCCCCCTGCGTTCAGTCTCGCGCGATTCCAGCGTCCTGAGTCCGCCCGGTCGCCCGGGGGCGCTCGAGGCCAGAGGGGGCGTTGCGGCGCCGCCCGACGTCGCGCCCTCGGCGACTGCGCAGTGCGCAAGTCAAAGCCGGGCTCGGGCCGGGAGCGGGGCGCCGGGAGCGGCGCGGCCTGAGAGACTCTGGTCTTTGAGGAGCCGGGACAAGGCGGAGGCGAAGGCGGCTGCGAACCCTGCAGTCGCAGCCGCGGCTCGAGCGAGCGCAGCAGCAGCGCGGCGGCCACCGCGGGAGCCTCTGGGTCGCCGCCGCCGCCGCGGGAGCCGGGAGCCGGGAGCAGCAGCGGGCGGAAGACAACGGAGGGGCCGAGCGCCCGAGCCGCGCCGCGGGGACCGAGCGAGCAGCCCGAGGCGGCGGCGGCGGAGGACGGGGACGGCGACGACGCGGAGGCGGAGAGGGAGCCGCCCGGCCCAGCCCCGTGAGTGACCCACGCCCTGCCCTGCCCGCGGCGCGGCGTGGACGCCGCTGGCTTCCGCCCGCCCGGGGCCCCGGGCCGCCTCCATTTTCTCGGGCAGCGACGGCGGCCGCGAGGGAACGGGCCCGGCCCGGCGCCCGGGAGCCCACGCCGCCTCGCTGCTGCGCGGCCTGCTCCCCGCTACCCCCCGGCCGGCGATGGTGCGGAGCGGCCTGGGCCGGCGTGAGGGCCGGGGAGTGCGGGCTGCGCCGCTGTCACTGCCTCCGCGCCCCGCGCTCCGGGCACCTGGGTGCCGGGCCCGGAGGCTTCGCGGTGCCGGGAGCCAGGTCCCGCCTTTGTGATCATCGTTTCGGGAAAACGCCTGACCGGTTCGTGGTTAGGGATTGTGCGGTCGGCGCGTTCCGGAGTTCGGTAGAAGCAGCCCGAGCGCTGCCTGCGTGCAGGCGCCGGCGTCGGTGCGCGCCGCAGGGACTCAGGTGAACACGGCCCCGCGGTCCCTCCTCCGGGAGTTTACTGTCCCTCTGGTGTGGGAGATAAGGCGAGTACACAAATAGCCAAGATAGCGGGAAGGAGGCGATAAGTCCTGCGAACTACAAAGTGAGAGAGGCACCTGGGAAAGCCCAGCCCGGTCGATCGCTTCCGCCTCAGCAGAAACCTGGAAGACTTCCTGGGCGAGGCGCTGCGGTGCGGGGGGCGACGGGTTTAGGCTAGGAAGGAGGTTGCAGAAGAGACTATATGGAGCCCAGCTAGAAGACAAAGGTGCGTACTACAAAAGCATAGCTTAGGTATCGTAGATAACTCCGTTTATTGTCTAGGGCCTTGGTGGGGTGCGATGGGCTGAAAGGCTATTTTGGGACCAGGTCCTTGGAGACTATCGAAGAAAACTGTTTGAGCGATGATGTAAGGAAACCTGCAGCTGATTTCTCAATGACTCTCGAGCCTGGAAATGTAGGCTAGGGTATATTGAAGAAAGGAGAGTAGTCCCTGGTCAGTATTTGATATTCTGTTCTTTGAACGTCTGTCGTTTGAGAACGATTTTGATGGCTTCCGGGATATTTGAGTAAATCCATGTCCAGGCTAAGCAAAGTACCTTTTGCACAAAGCTTTGTTAGACATTAGGCTCTTAAGAGGAAATGCGACAATGTCTATAAAAACAGCTCATCTGCACCTATAGGCATTTCTGTTTGTGAGTTCCCTAGAATGAATCAAAACTCCTCATACAGTATATTAAATATCTGTACTCTGATTTTACTAACTAAACCTAAATTACTTCTCTGATGTGGCATTTGCGTTAGTCTGAATTGATGCTTTGAATGGAAGTTAATACCGTAGGCTAGAAAGTTGAGCATAGACCTTTTTTCAGAAAAGTGTAATCACTATTAGTTTTTAGTTATGAAAATCTGTAAAGGACAGAAGTAGAAAAAAGTTTTTGGTTATTCTTTGTAGTTTTTTGAAGTTTGTAGCAAATAATTAGTAGCTGTATTTGAAGTCTACAATATGTGGCCTGTAGAAGCAGCTTAAAACCTGTGTTGGCTTTATAAGCATTTACATAACTTATCTTTGTGTGTATGACAAGTGAATGCTGACTTTTCTCAGTTTTAAAAATTTAACAGTAAAGTATGAACTTTACAAAAGCTTAGGAAACACAGAAAGTACTGGAGATTTTTTTTTAGTGGGGGTACAGGGAATTGAACTCAGGGCCTTGCTCTTGCCAGGCAGATTTTTTAAAAACATTTTTATCATTAATTGTATAAAAGTACTAAAAAAAACTTTACCCAAGCAAGGGAAGCTTTCTTTCTTTCTTTCTTGCAGTACTGGGGATTGAAGGCACGACCTGGTGCTTGCCAGGCAGGCGCTTATGCCGCTGAGCTAAATCCCTGGCCCAAGGAAGCTTTCTTAAAGATACTGATTTTTTTTTTTTTTTTTCCTGAAAAGATCAGGTTATTTACCCCAAATGAAATGCGGTAGTCATGTTTAGTAATTGCTACAGTGGACAAAACTTTTTTTCCTTGTTTTTCTCTGGTGCTCTGGGAGTGAACCCAGAGCTCCATGCACTTGCTAGACACACACTCTGCCACTAAGGTGGCCTATGGAAAACTTTTAATTTTGTGTTGTTGATGTAGGGTCTCATAATGTAGTCCAGGTTGGCGCTGAACTCACTGTGTGAACTCTGAACTTTTCATACTCCTGCCTTAACCTTCCAAGTGCTGAGATTACACATATCCAGAGCTTTTTCTAAAGGCTTCTGGTTTGAAAATATTTATTAAGCTCTCTGTAAGATCCTATTGTTTGTTGACTTTTTTTTTTTTTTTTTTTTATGGTGCTAGGATTGAACCCAGGGTCTTGTACATGCTAGTTAAGCATGCTACAATTAAGCTACATTTCCAGCCTTTTTAATTTTGAGGCAGGGTCTCACTAAGTTGCCCAGAAGTTGCCCAGGCTGGCCTCCAACTTTCAGTATTCCTGCCTCAGCCTTCTGAGTAGCTAAGATTGCAGGTGTGTGTCATTACACCAGGCTTGAATAGTTTTTAGTCACTTGCTGGAATACATGTGACCCTAAGATATAAAATGTGTGTGTGAGTGGATGTACTTTTAGAGGGGCTCTGTGGCTGGAGCACAGTCTCTCACACACTGGCGTGCCATGCCCCTGCCCACCCTCCACTCCTCAAAAATAGTTTCACACAAAGGTCATCCATACAGAATTCAAGCTAGATATATTTTTTAATTGGCATTTCCTTAACAGTATAGAATTTGCTATGGGGGGATCTACTACAATTACAAAGGGCACTTGTTTCGTATTTCACAGCAGCTTTCTTTAGTTCATTAGTATTTTAGACCACAGGTCCTTGTGTTAAATCATTTTTCTCTTTATGCTTTACATTCTAACATATATTAGTAAGAACTTTGTTTCTAATAGCATATAAAGGGAGATACTGAGTTAGAGTAAGTTTTCATAAAGTTAATATAAAAAAATAAGAGACCAGGTTAAATGTACAGTGTGGCTTTATAATTTGGTCTTGGCTTGGAATTTGTTTGTATATTGCAAGTGTGTGTATTACACAGCATCTGTATTACTGTGGAATATCACTAAAGGTTTTTCTTTCAATCACCTTTTGTGAGAGTAAAGGCTTCTCTGTAGCTACTGCTATCCTTTCCCAGGAATTATTTGTTCAGGAAATGGATCATTACTTATTAACATTTTTTGTTGTACACTATAAAAATGTAGACACACATACAGTCACATATCCAATCCATACACTACCACCACCCCACCATTTCTGTCCTTGCCAACCAAAAAATAAAAATAAATAAAATCCAGTATTAGGACACAATCTATATTTCAGGTATTGTCTTTTGGTTGCCTTTGACTCTTTATCATGGCTTATTTTAGTTAGGAGTGTGATTTTGTGGACTTTCTTGGCTTTTACAGAAACAGAAATATAGTTGGATTAATATGTAAAATGGGGGCTGGAGGTTTAGCTCAGCGGCATAAGCGCCTGCCTTGCAAGCAGGCAGTCGTGAGTTCGATCCCTGGTACCGATAAAAACGAAAACGACAAAAAAAAAAGTAAAATGGCAAAATTTTGGTTGATAAAATTTTGCCATGTGATTAATTATGAAAAAGAAGGTGAAATATCTATGAACTTGGGGGCTAGATTTATTTCAAAAGTATTGTTTTAGTTGTTGTGATGTAAAGATCTCGTGTTTATATGAATATAGATAAAGCCAAAAAGTTGCAAAAAATCTTATCTTTTGACATTTATTGGAGAGAGGACTGAGCATGGTAAGGCAAATATACACATAACCACTATTTTTAGCGTAGTTTGATGTAGAAACAAAATGATAGATGTTCTACTTGTGTTTCCAAGGATCCTGGGAAGAGTTCCTATGGTGGCCTAAGGCTACGGATGGATGGCAGGTTAACTCACTGCTATAAGTTGTGTGTGTGTATGCACGCACATCCAATACGCCATTGCTGGCTCATAGAACTTAGTAAGCTCACAGATTCCTAGTCTTGCTGTGCTTTGTCTTTTGAAATGGAAGGGGCAAAGGTAGGACAGAATTGTAGTTTATAGAAGGTGTGAAGTTAAGCCAGCACAGGAAGGGAGAATGGTATGTAGAGAATTACAAGAGGTCAGTCAAGTGTGAAGTGGCCCAGGAGGCGGTAAAGCCTGCCCTGCCATTCTGTTGGCACATACCTATTTGTATGGTACTTAACACATTGTGTCTAGTTTGAGATTTTGGTACTTAGAATATGGTGATTTAAATTGTAGGTTTATGTTCGTTTGTTTATATACATATGTATTTTCATATGTATATCACAAAGATAAAATCTAGTTACCCAATGTTTAGTGGCAGTTTAGTTTTACATAGTAATTATTCCTTGGGAGTGTTATCCAGTAGATAAGTTTTGGAGAACCAAGGAAGTATGTTCATGTTAAAACAACATTGCAACAGTAATTTCAATAAAATGCTTGAGAAACAAAATATACATTTTGTAGCTTGCTGTTAATTAAGTTGCTACCTTATACCTTTATGTAATGAACCGCAGCTAGCCCAGGCTACTATTAACATATTAGTCATTGTTCTCTCCCTCCACAGATTACATAGCAGCTACATTTAGGCATAAGGATGAAGCAGCCTAAATAGTGTTTTGTTTACATGTATGTGAGGCCCATGTGGAGATTCTTAGACATTTGGAGGGACTGTGTTACTCTAGTGATTAAAAGCATAGGAGCAGCCAGGAGCCCTTGGTTGGAACCCTCACCCCTCCACCTCTGTGTTCCACAGCTTTAGGCCAGTTCTTAGATGGCTAGGATGAGAATAACTCACTGCTGGGAGGGTCACAGTAGCATTAAATGAGTTACTGCATTGGACAGGCTTGGAACAAGGCCTGGCACACAGTGAATGCTCAGGCATCCTAAGTCTTATGATGCTAATAATTGACCATTCTAGGTGGAAGAAGCTTTAGAACTTGAGAAACAATCTATTCTGGGCGGGTTT